TGGTTTAGCATTCTCTCCCATAACTTCCAACCCAACTTCAGTCGGGCAGGGGGAGCTCTACTTATTTCACATATTTTCTAACCAGCACATCACTGCGGCGTTCTGAGCGAGCGGCCAAAGCGGCGCTTAATCTTCATAAAGCTTCGAACCGGAAAAGGACAACCGGCTTCCGGTTCAAACCCGCTATGAATCATGGGTAAATTCGCTAACCAGGAAAAAGGTGGATAATTTAGTCTATTTAAGTTCCTCTGTTGTATCACTCATTGTCTGCTATTGTTTGTGTGTAGCATACTGCTTCATGTTGTTTGCCTGTGATGAATAAATCTAGCTGTTATTGGGAAATACTTATTCTGCCTTCTTCATCATCATTGACTTGGGATTGTTAGTTTTGTTGTGATAATACTGTAGTAGTTTAAGCTTCCTGCGATAGTCAGTGTTTCACTGTTTGTGTCAATTTGCTTGTCTGTGTTTGCATGTTCCAGACGAACTAAAAGCTGTAAAAACTCTCTCTGCAAATTACATTCTTATGCTAGTAAGCAACTGTTTTTCATTAAATTATTGTTCAAAAACACTGATTCTTTCAGGAACGAAATGACACTTTCTGAGTGAGTCATTGAATCATTTATTTAGCAAATTTGTTCAAAAACGCTGCAAATTACGAAACAAAATACTCTTTTATGATTTTCGAGTGATTCACTCTGCTGATTTGTTCAAAAATCAAATGAAAGAATCATTCAGGAGGGAAACACCACTACTGTGTGTTGATCAGTGTTGTAGCTTTGTTTGGAACAAAACAGACAAAATAACTGTCAATATTGTGTCTAAAAATGTAAGTTACTCTATATTTGCTTATTTTTTACTTACCTTTGTTCTTCTATGTAAGCATGCGCTACATGTTTGACCGTCGCGCTCGCCTCTCGCGACTTTTGCAGTCTCGCATATGACAAGGCAATCTAAAAATGCTCTACTGAAGTTACAAGAAGTCCCACGTTTTTTTGTGCAGCGTCTTTCACAGTGTTCTATCACAGTGCTCAAGTCAAGTTTGATATTGATGAAGTTTGATTTTTCCAAATCTGCACATTTATGATTTAATGTGTGTTTTTAGGACGAAAATGCTAATTATAGGCTTTTGCATTATGTACAGATGGAGGATCGTTTTCCTTCTGATAGTACAGGGCACTGAATGACTTTGATGATGCCAATTCCAACAGGATTATGGGATTTTGTAAGGGTTGATGTTTGTGGTCTGGTAATCTTTTAAGCTTATCCAGTGGACATGCCACCTTACACACATAATATACACACATACACACACTCCTACACAAACTGAATACACAAACACACTGTGCTATCTTTCTCAGTCTTGAAGCTCCAATCATAGACTGATGGGCTATGCGTAAAGGCCACGACTTCCTTATCAAACCACAAACAGCACCCTGCTAGGCTGAAGCCCGTCCACAACACCTTCAGCGTCTATTTCTATGCTCACAAAGACCAATGAAAACATCTGTCAGCTAGTGTGAAATCATCCTGGCAGCACGACTTATGTAATTTCTGGTAAGAGAATCACCAACCGTCTCTATTGCCGTATCGTAAATGTTACGACACGAGGGCTTTTCAAATCAATGACACGGAGACTCTGCAGGTGTGCTGTGAGCGTATGGATTAATCAATTTCTTTTGGCCATGTGTTAATGCATGATTGTAAATTATTCCTGCGTTCTGATTTGAGCTCCCACACTGTAAAAAAAATCTGTAGAAATTACAGTATTACTGGCAGCTGTTTGCCAGTAACTTACTGTAGTTTTAAATTGATGTTAATTACTGGCAACAGTTTGTTCAAAGTTAAATGAACATTAAACATTAACAAGTCTTTATCTTTACAGAATAAAACTAAAATAACAGCCTCATGCAAAGCATTCTGGGAACCAAAATCTGAAGGAAAAAAACAGAAAACGGTTGATGAAGATTTCTGGTTCCCAGAATGCTTTGCATTAGATTGTTATTTTATAATTTTATTCTGTAAAGACAAAGACTTGTTAATGTTTAATGTTCATTTAACTTTGAACAAACTGTTGCCAGTAAATATACATCAATTTAAATCTACAGTAAGTTACTGGCAACCAGCTGCAAAACTACAGCAATTTTTTTACAGTGCATATATTCCTTCAGATAATTTTTTTAATCCTGTTTGGTGATAAAGGCCTCTAATCTGCATGACAAATACATTTTTAAATGCATTATATCAACGATGCAGAGACGCACAGATTCAAATTGTAAAATCAGGGATTACAAAGGGTGCCGTTCACCCTGTACGTAAACCGTGATTCTATAATTGAGTATAAGTCCATAATATGCCATAATCTGCATAAGAAGATATGCGTGGATTTAGAGAGAGAGGCAGCGTTATTATTACACTGAATTCTAATCCAATTCTACTCACACTGTAGTGATGTGTGCTTGTATTGTTCCATCTCGCTTCTCTGATCGCCTGAGATGTTGAATGTTGATATCCCTTATGTTGTTTCAAACCTTATGACTTCTCTTCTGTGGAATACAAAATGAGATATTTGGACCCCACTGACTTTTTATTGTATGGATTAAAAACATTCTTCATTCTTTCAATCTCTTCTTTTATGTTAAAAAAAAGTTTATAGAGGTTTGGAACGACATGAGGGTGAGTAAGTGATGACAGACGTTTTTAGGTGAAATATCCCTTTGTTTTGCGGTTGTCATCGCCATGATGTGTAAGAATGTATAGATGTAGAATTCATGGACCAGCGAACAGCGCCTGCCAGTGGGAATTTCCACATCAGATGGTTTAATGACCATTCTCACATGACTTATAGGTTTCCCGTGGCATGTTTTGCTGTGCCCTGCAGGTTGTGGACGTTTTTCTCTTGCTCTGAAGTTTGGGGATGTTGTCTGGTTGATGGATGGAGTTGCGACTGTTTCTGCATTGTCTATCAGCTCTATCTTGACGGCATTACATAGGAGGCAGAAGTTTTCTTTTTCTCTTGACAAGCCTTTTTTCTTATTCTTTCTAACCCTATCAGTCTTTCCATCTTTTCACTGGATTTTTCCAAGGAAATGGTGTTCTATGATGTGAATCAGCAAATGGTTTTATCTATCAGGCTTGTCACACCTATATTTATCCATAGCTCTATTATACACACGTACATTTTAAAGATAACAAAAAATTGCACTATTTGCATAGTTATGGAGAGATAAGAATCTCATAACTCATGAACAGACAAATTTATCTGTAAGATCTGAGTCATATTACTTTTCATAGCATTATTCTTTGTGCTTTTCCATGTCAGCTTAGATAAATGTTGTGTTAAAGAACAGTGTGTGTCATGTTCGGGTCCTAAACTAAACAAAGGGCATTTAATATTAACTTTGTACTGTCTAAGATTTGTGGATGGCTTACAGGTTTCCTCTCTGGTGTTTACTTTTTGACCATAAATAAAGATTTTCATAACTTGCATAACAAGTATCTTTTCTGTACTATTTTAAACCACATGGAGCGTCTGTTTGTTGGAGTTTTTCAGTTGTTCATACAAATTCATTATTTCTAAAGGCTTATTTTTTTACTTAAGGAATGTTTGGGAGAAATGTAATGTTGAAAGGGGATTTTGGATTGTATTCAGCAGCCTATATGTAAAGCCTGTTATAGAACTGTAAGTGATTTAGGGTATTTTGTATTCAGTTAAGGTGGATCCATTCATTGGAATAACAATGTAAATTGTGTTTGTTCAGATGTTTACTGAGTGTTTTCTCTGGTAGCTTTGTGCAAAATGATTTGCTCAGCTTCTTAGAAAAAAAGTCATTAGTTTCTTTGTTGAAAAAAAAAAAGTCATTGTGTTTCCTCTAATTATCATTGGGATTTGTAATCCATTGATCTACCAACGTCTTTAAGAACTGTTCTTTAAAACCTTTGCGATCAGCCAATCTGAATCCAGGCTTTGCTTTAAAGAAACTACCACACAGCCTCTCTGGGGACAAACAGTGGACAAACAGTTATTGTGTGAAAGTTATAGAAACTAACGGGTTTTATTTCTCACTTTTGAGAATAATTCCACCTCCATTAGTTGCTCTCCATACAGTCAGCTCAGTGCAATTTGAATGCTTTTTTTGGTTTTATTAATAATTGAGTTTCCAGCTCCTGCAGTTTTTTGTGCTGTCACTAGACAAAATATTTACAGCACCCCCATAACCCCCCTCCTCTTTTTGAGATCTATGGTAAAATATTTATTACAATGCAAATAAATACAACACAGTACTCTAACTACTTTTGATTTGTTTAAATATGAGAAAGGAATATGAAATAACCTTATAAATGAAGAATGAAGTCAAATGTTCTGTGACACATATTATACCTCTTTCCCAAGATGCATTTGTGCATAAATGTAATGATTTTGTGCTGTACAATATGGGAAACAATGCTCTAGTTTACAAAGTTGGGAATATTACTACCATTTTTCTATGCCACAATGCTCTTTTTAAGTAGGCACATTGTCAGATATACACCCTGGAACAGGTTTGAAATCCACCCTGAAATCCACTTTTTATCATTGTAAAAAAAACATGGGTAACTAAATGTATAAGAGTATGCTTTCTAGCCTGCGGCTCTCAGATGGTAACATCTATAAAATGTCATATGTCATAAATTATTTATGTCCACTTTAACTAGATTTCCTTGAGAAATTGTTGCACTGATGTTCAACAGAGGCAATAAATTAGCAGCATATGGCAATACACTAAAGAGAATTACATTTGCCCTGTGAAATCTGGGCACATTATCCCACCTGTTCTCTATGGGATCACCCTGACATTTGCTGCATTAATTGCCACTGGTTGATGAAAATGGACCATAAGTTCCATGATGGTCAACGTGCTTAACTGTTGTAAAGTAGTGCCTATGACTCCTAAACCCTCTAATTCTCTAACCTCACTGTATCCCTGTTTTTTTTTGTCTCTCTCTCTTTTATTCTCTAGCCTGTGAGCTCATGAATCAGGGGATACTGGCATTGGTGTCATCGACGGGATGTGCTGCAGCCAACGCGCTACAATCTCTGACGGACGCCATGCACATTCCTCACCTGTTCATTCAGAGGAACGGAGACGGCACACCCCGCGCTGAGTGCCAGCTCAATCCCAGCCCCGACGGAGAGCGCTACACGCTGGCCGCACGCCCTCCTGTGCGTCTAAATGATGTCATGATCACGCTTGTCTCTGAACTGCGCTGGCACAAGTTCATTGTTTTCTATGACAGCGAGTACGGTGAGTAACGGTGAACCTTTGTGGCACCCATTTCCAGTTGGGAGCCTCCAGTTGGAGGTTAATGATAGGAGGGCAGGGGTCACACTGACATGAAGGGAGACAGTTGTTCTGTGACATATCAGCTGGAATTCACAATTCATCATGATAGTTTGGTGCATAGCAATTTCAGAGGACTTTTCAAAGCAAAAAAATGTATGTACATGAGCAAAGCTTCAAAAAAAATCCTTCATAGTGCAAAGACATCAGCTCTGAAGTTAAAATTTGATGAGAGCAGGTGGACTCTAGCAGACTACAAGGCAGACTGTCAGTTGTTAACCACTTTCAGCATTGTAGTGTTTTGAAAACCATGAAACTGTCAAGGTATATAAAACATGGACTAGGTAAACCTTCTGATTTCTTCATTGAGCCAGTGATGTTCAGCTCTATGGGAATAAAAGTTTGGCTGTCAACCCAGAATTGTCTCTATGTCGGACCTCTTTAACAAAAAACTTTTAACCTGACCTCTCTCAAAATGTAATCAGGCCCAAGAATGAGGATTGCTCTTTACCGTTTACCCTAACGGTACAACTGTATTCTTGATCAAATAAATGCAGCCTTGATGAGCATGAGAGACTTATTTTCAAAACAAATAAAACCCCAAACTTTGGAACAGTAGTGTAAATGATAAACAGATAGGAAACATTTTAATTCAAACCAGCAAATAAACATTGGAAATATTAATATTTGTATTCATTAATATTGTCACGTCAGGAAGGAGGTATACATATATGAACATGATTTCACCCTTCTAGCTCATTTCTGATTGGGTAAACTGAGGGTGATGCAACATACCTTTTGTTACAACACTTCCTAGCCTCAACCCTGGTTTTGTGCCTGAATCCTTACCTGCCCTTTAGATAATACCAGGCTCAAAACACATTAGCTGATGATTGTTCTTCCCTGTTTTTTTAGTCCTACAGTGTCTGACTGTAAAATGTATTTATGGGTTTCAGTGTTCCCAGAATATGCTTACAAGCAATGCTATAGCATTTGCAGTTTACATTAATAAGGTCTTTAGTTCTGCAGCTTTAACTGTAAGTTTGTTGTTCATTGTAGGGTCTTATGTGGAGTATATTGTTTCCTGAAAACAACACAATAAACACAAAAAGGGTTTGTTGGAGAAGGTCAAGCATAAAGCTCCCTCATAAAAATTCTTTGTACTTACTATTGACACCAATTAACACTTTAACTGTAACAGTCTCCTCTGCAGTGCTGCAGGCTCTAAAATTTTTATGAATTTTAACAAAGAATTCTTTGGTTTATTTAGCTTGCTTTTTAAAGGGATAGTTCACCCAAAATTGAAATATACTCACCCTTACATTTTTTTTCCCAAACCTGTGACAATGTGACAATCCCAAACTTGTTTTTCCTCCTGTACAATGCAAAAAAAAAAAAAAAAATGAATTACCCGTAGCAGATCTATACAGGTGGAGCTGGGGAAGGTGAAGGGTTTCTGAAAGCGCGCTGCACTGTTACAGCAAATGCTAACCAAATATTTGACAGTTGAACACTAGGGGTGGGAGAAAGAATCGATGCATCGCCGTTCTCTCTCCATCGATTCTGAATCGATTTTGAGAATTTCAGAATCGATTATGAGCTTCGTTTTTAACTGCAGATGCACAATTACGCTGCGTGTGTATTAGAAACACCCGTTTTCTGCTCGCTTCCAATTTCTCTCTCTCACACACCCACACCCACACACACACACCACACGAACTTTCCGTAAAATAATCTTTCATAAAGGTTGAAGTGAAACGACATTCGCGGGCTTCATCGTACAGGATATGTAAGAAACGCACGCTTTGCTTGATACTCAGTGTGCGTTCTTGCTCGCTGGTATTTTCCTTACAAAAGCTCTACGAAGGCATCATTTATGTCTTTTGGAATGCAGTGGGCTTACTGTTTATATTAAAAATACGAAACTCACTAACAGAAGGCTGCTTTCAATTTCAAACACTCGCACACGCTTTGTAAAGAGTGCTCTTGCATGCGCCTTGGTGCGACTGTGTAAGTGCTTGAATGTGCTTGCGTCTCAAAATGGTTTTATGACGCAAAATTAATGTAAACAGCCAGTTATGTCTTAAGCGGTTAAACGGACAGGACAAAACACATCTTATATTTTAAAAGAGATCTGTGCACTAGTGTGAATGCATCTTATTAGATCTCCCGCTGTCGATGATGTCACCAGTAATAATCAAACAACAGTAAAGATGAGAAAAAGAAATATCACTCACAGCTCTTGAATGGAAAACGTTCAGATACTCTTAAATACTGAAAGCACTCTTTGTTTGCTTGTAATATGTTTCTCTTTGAAGCTATATTAGTGTAAAATTCTTAACACACAATTGTTTTAATATTTTTTTTTTGTAATTATTTAAAATAAATACTTATAATTACATATGTAATTAAATAAAAAATATATATGTTGGATTTTGAAGACGATAAACTAATTAATTAATAAGAAAAAAAAGTTGATCAAGAATCGTTTTAGAATCGTATCGTGACTCCCAGAATCGGAATCGGATGGGATTGTGAGGTGCCTAAAGATTCCCACCGCTATTGAACATGCAAGCTAATTGGCTACTGATACAGCAGGAACCAATTAGCTGTGCCCTATACGCTGATTTCACGCACCCGCCATTTTGAAATCGAAAGCGAGGCTCCGGTGGGAAGAGCCCCGAAAGTACAGATAGACAACAGTGCCTTGGACTACCAACCTGAAGCTGCTGCCGCGATTTACACTATTGGATGTTAATATCCAGGATATGTATACTATATAGTTCGTTCCTGCTTCTTTTTTTACGTTCTGAATTATATATAAAAAAAATATTTTATTTATAAATGAATTTCACTGTATATAGTCTAAAATATGAAAGAAATGTATGTAGATTTTTAGAATAACTAATTTCTACATTAAACACAACAATACGCCATCGCATTCGCGACTCTCCTATGATTCAAGGCGACACTTCCGGTTTTCTTCCCACCGGAGCCATTTCAAAATGGCAGCTGCGTGAAATCAGCGTATAGAGAAGTATGTGATTGCAAGCTGGTTAAGGACCTATAAGCCTGTGCCATCTAGAGTTTCATGACAGAACTTTGTATTTGTTGCTCTTTTTGAGACAAAACACCATAAAGGCATAATTGATATACAACTGCACTGCTGTTTATTTCAAGTCTTCTGAAGCCATATGATATATTTGTTTGAGGATCAAACAAAAATTTAACATGACATCCACCCTATAGCTTCATGAGAAAAAATAACAATGTTTGATTTGTGAATGAATCAGTCCTTTGAGAATTGAGTGATTTGTTTATGGTCTGATGTGATTATCTAATTCAGCTCACAGACTCAATGATCAGTAGGGCTGTCACTTTTGTGAAAAAATCCTGATCGATTTTTGAGACATAAATGTTCATTGAATCGATTGTAAAATCGATTTTCCATGTCTAAAGACGTTTCCATTTTCAGCGCCAAATATAGGCAAATCCACGGACAACTAACAGGCATTAGGACGAACGTAAAGAGTGCGCTTAGGACGCGCACAAGTCAGCAATATTTCTGATGATTTATTGGCATGACGTTTCGTGCACAATGACAAACAGGAGTGTAAGATTCTCGAAAAACAATAAGCAGAGTGGACTGCCATAACATCAATGAAAAACATTACTGCAGGCTTCAACATGGCTGTGTTTACGATTAGAAATGTCAAACAAATGTCGCCTACGTAGGCGATTGTAGGCCGATTGTATCTGTATGCATGAGACTGTCTGAATACCGGCAGAATTCACATTTTTTGTTGTAAAAAGAGACACATTATGCAGAAGTATAGTATAGTTTGTATGTGTGTTTGTCAGAGCCTGCAGTTGCTGTGTGACGCGCGTTTCTCTGCGGACGTGTCGTGACGAGCTGGACGCGCTCCGAGAGAAGGCCGTTAAAATCGATTCCCTATTTTCGTTTTCGATACTTGTGTTGGTTGGTCCGATCGATTGTGCAATCGATTTTCGAACGTAAAGTGACAGCCCTAATGATCAGTGTATAACAACTTGCTGGAAGGGAAGATTATCAGTGAAAAACAACTTAAATTATGGTTTATTCCTCACAAGGCTGTCATTGTGCTTTATAATACTTGGAATATAGCCATCACAAATGAGATGGACTACTTGTATGGTGCTTTTTGAAGCTTGTTATTGCGTGGACAAACAAATGATGACAGAATAATTTTTGAGTGAACTGTAACCAGCATGCAGGCCAAATCTCCTTTTGTTTCCATCTTATCTTCTTAAAATCCCCATTATCCCAAGCAAGTCTCTGTAGCCCATAGCTCTTTCTTTGCTTTGGGGTTGGGTGGTTTGCTGTGCTAACAGAATGCCATCACGGATTCAAAAGGTCTTGATGAAAAGCATCTCACAACCACTATGGGGCATTTTGATCCCCCCAGTCAAAGCAGAGCTCCCTTGTGGTCCACATCTACAGTATTTCAGAATAGATTCAGCTAAACTGCGCTTTAAATAGCTCAGCATATATGCTAGGGCTATAACTGCTACTGAATTCGGCTTCAGGCAGGTTCAGACAGTGGGCTGAGATGAGTCAGACCGCCAAGCACCCTGGAGCAGGTAACATCCTTCAAACCATATCGCAGAGGTCAGAGGAAAGCCCCAATCAAGACGTATAACATGATTGATCGTGGTGCAGAGCTCTTAGCACTGAACATGACACCCTCCAGTCACTCTGGATGTGAAATACTAGACGCATTCATAACAGGCTTCTTGGCAAGGGCATAGGTTGGTAGGGACATGCTGTTGTTCATTTGTTTGGTTTCACTTCATTTTGATGGTCCCTTTAACACATTCTGTTGATGACTATAAGTAACGTTGCACCTATAGCTCTCATTAGAGTGTTAGTAGAGTATTAGTAGACTGGTTGGGGTATGGTTAGAATAAGTTGACATGTAGTTGCA